GCCGCGGGGGAGGGCCGCGGGCCGAGGACTTTTGCAATTTCCCGTCTTGCCGCGCACTCTTGGCGCTCCTGGGACCCACAGGAATTCGCCTCCTTTTGGTCCCCGGGGAAGCGGACGGGACCCCGCGGAGGTGCGGCCCCCGGACTTGGGCCGGGAGGGGACCGGTGGGAAAGAAAGGAAGTGGGAGCGGCCTGGGAAGGAAAAGTGAAAACCGAAAAACGCGGCCCGCGCGGCCCGCGGCTGCTCGGCCAGCCCACCCCGCGGCGGACGCCGAGGCACGGCCACGGCCGCAGCCACGGCCCCACCTAGGCGGAACCCTGGGCCTTCATTGGGTGTTCGGGGCAATAACAAGTGTTTGAACGGATTTCTGGGATCCTGGCTCTCGTTCCCGTCCAGAAACTCCCTGTTAGACAAACTTTCTGCAGCAAGCGTCCTGAAGCCTTCCCTTCACAGAGTCAGGGGTGCTACAACAAGGCTTACTTTTCCTTTTAAAAAAGCCATTCCATCTTGGAGGTACATAGTTCACATTCAGGGCCTTTGAAATACATATTTGCTTTCTCGTTATAGTTATACGATCGACTATCAAGGAGAGCCTTGTCGACTTTGGAGCTGATATGGCATCCCTAATACTGCCACTTCCTCAGCAGCCTGGCGATCCAGAGAGGACAGCGGTGAGACGCCCGTGTCCGGGGCACTCGCCCGGATGCCCGAACCTCGGAGGCTTGCTCATGGCACTGTTTCTGGTCGGCTAAGCCTGTTCTGGTTCCGGTTTGGGGACCCTAGACAGTATCACAAATGGCAGGGACTGGGTGAGTGATCAAGAAGGCTCGCCCATGACTCACACCTCAGAACGACTCCGGAGTTGGCCGGATGGCTCAAAATAATGTCAGAATTAGTCCAACTATAACTTTTATGTTTGTTCACATTTTTTTGCTCCTCCCTAGTGTCATCCCAGGGAAAGTGTTTTTTATTTAAGTCTAAATACTCTTAATACCTAATGGTGCCATGAAGACTGTGGTACATAGTAAATATTTGATGATAATAGAGAAAAGGTACTTTTGTCTAAATAAATGTGTGGTCCTTTGCCACACCTCTCACTACTTCGAGAGTTTTAAAGAGTCCATTAGTTTAGCCATCTGCATAGCCATGGAAACTGTCAAACCAGGTCCCAAATGGGTTGGAAAGATTTTCTGATTCTGTATTTCACCGAGTGAAAAAAATGTGAATTTCTTCTTTACAGAAATAGTTCAGAGGGTTTACTCTTAGAGCAGATGAGATAACAAGTAAAAAAATATTAATTAAAGAATTTCTGCAAAGTGAGTCTCAACTTACTTTGGCTCGTATTACAATGCAAGAAAACTAAGGTGCAAAAAAATTCGGTGCTGTTGGTACGAAATTTCAGGGGTTCCCCCAGTGAAGTTAAAAACTGGCCTCCAAACATGGACCACTTCATATAGGTAGGTGGCAGTTTTAATAAGCAAGGGAACTTACATATGAGAGTTGTCTTCAGTGGCCTCATGGCAGGTAGATTTCCACACCTTCCCGCTAGAATCTTAAGAGTTTATAGAGATCTTAATGGCGTTTAATCAAGTATACCGTCTAGATGGTCTTAGGGACACATTACCCTCTCCAGACAGTGTCCTTTGAAGTGGCTTCTAGTATGGGAACGGTGACACATACATCCCAAGGCCAGGGGAAGGGGTGAGGAGCCTCTGATTGCCTGGGTCCAGTTTTTAGGTCAGCTGGGGGTCACATTCTCTCACAGACCTCTTCTAGCAAGTACCCACATAAAATTCATTTCTTGTGTGCACCATTCTAACTTCTTTATAAACCCTCTAAAATTCTAGAGTCTAGTTGCTATGGCACTTGTAAATTTGTGATCATACCCTTAGGATGGTGGGTTGAATAGTGTCCTCCAAAAATTCATGTCCACCCAGAACCTAAGAATGACTCAATTTGAAATAATTGTTTTTTTGTTTTCAGATTTAATCAAGTTAAGATGAGGTCATACTAGATGAATCCAATGACTGCTGTCCTTATGGAAGAGGGAAATTTGGACACAGATACTCAGGAGGAATACTACGTAACTTCTGAGGCAGAGACTGGAGTTAATTCTGCCTCGTGGCAAGGAACGCCAAGGATTGCTGGCAACCAGAAGAAGCTAGGAGAAAGGTATGGAGCACATTTTAGGGCCCCTAAAAGGGAACTCACCCTGCCTACACCCGATTTCAGACTTTTGGATTCTAGAACTATGATAAAACCATTTTCTCTTGTTTTAAGCCACTAAATTTGTGGTAATTTGTTACAGCAGCCCTACCAAGGTGATACGTAGATATGTAAGTAGTACACATTCCAAAGGTTAGTTTTCAAAATTAGCCTGAAAAATAGGTGAAATGAAAAAGATGAAAAATACCAACAGCTTATTAAACTAAGGGCTGAGATACCCTTCCTCATTTAGCACTGACAAGATTATGTTGGGAAAGTACAGATTCTGTTTCATTTGACACTCCTCCTGGATGTCCTCTCTTCCTTTTGATTTCAATAGCATAACCCTCTCCACTTTCTCCGACTTTCTTCCCTGACACCTTCTTGGGCTCCCTGTTCTCCATTTGTCCTTCAGATGTTGGTGTGTCTCAAGGCTCTATCCTTGACATTCTCTGAATCCACCGTCTCCCGAACGAACGCATCCATGTTCTTGATTTCAGTTATCACTTGTGTATCGATAATCCTAGAATCTTCCTTTCCATTGCGATTATTTCATCTAAACTCCAGACCAGTGTCTTTGTACATTAAAATCAATATGTCCGGGTTCAAACTCTACTTTTCTCCATTTGATTCTCATATTAAATGAATGGGCCAATCTTTAATTTAGATAAGAAATCAAAACACTTGGGAATGATGCTTGACCCATCCTCCCTCAGCCTCCATCTTCCATCAGAAAGTCTTTTATGGGGAGACATGAGTGGAAAGTACCCTTATCCTATTCAACTTCTCAGAGGAAAAATAGTTCAATAACTGTCATTATGATATTATACATAATATTATGTAGATATAGATATAGGCTTAAGTGCAGATATATGAAATCAGTTATGTAAATTGTGAAATCTAATTATGAGTCTTTTTATTCAACTATTATAAATATCTATAATTATATATTTAGCAGTATTTGGTAACCAAACTGATGAAGTTTGAAGGAATTGGGCGTTTTTTGAAGAAAGTGACTTCATCAAGTAAGTAATAGATGATGATTTACAATTACCCTCATGGATAAGAATTCTCTATTTTTTGGCATGTTATCACATTTGATATTTTTAAAGAGTCACTTTTAGGTCTTAAAGTGTGCTGCTATGATTATGATTATTGGTAGTACTGGCATTGTTTCTAAGAAAACTTCATAAAATTAAAACATGATTTTGTAAATACATTCTTATGCTATGAAAAACTAAATAGGGTTTCTGAAAAAAATTTAGTCTAAAATGTATCATAAAGGTTGATTAGTTTAGAGATATCTATCACTTCCAAATATCCAAAAAAGAAAACGAAAAGAGAGCCAGCAATTGCTGAATGTTAGAGGGCCTCATGAAACTTTTACATTTTATGATTTCAGGAGATTCTCTGTAATTACTTAATTATGAATTGCTTTTTACTTTTCATTATCCGTTAAGTGAATTTGAGGGATAACATCATCCTTAATAGTCTTAAAGGAGTTTCTTGCTTGAACTAGATATAACTCGAAGATTGATTGATTGGTTGATTGATTGATTTCACATATACCTCCCTCTCCCTGCATATTTTAATTGTGTTTACCACTTGTTCTATAAATCATCAGAAACCACACAATGGGAAGAACTTTTTTGGATCTTTTACTTTTTCTCCCCATGGGCTTTAGGGAGAATTTTGAATATGTGTTTGTTTACATAGATGCTTTTATTCTCTTGGCCTGTGGTTATGGGAATTAATAAATATGAATGTAGTGGTTGATGCTAAAGAATAGAACATCGATACAGTGAGGGGGAAGTACTTTGGGGAACAATTAGATAGGAATTTTAGGGACTTTTGAAAACTGTTTGCTGAGCTTGATATAAAATGTTTATAGTTGTATTTGTTTTTAAACAGCATCTCTTATAGACAGCATATAGTTGGGACTCTTTAAAAAGTTCATTCTGACAATCTCTGCATTTTAATGTGATAGGGAGTATTTAGCATACTTATAGTCAAGGCAATTTTGATATGGTTGGATTTAACCTGCCATTTTACTATATGTTTTCTGTTTCGTTTCTTTTGTTGTTGTTGTTCTACTTCTTTCCTGCCTTTTTTTATGTTATATAAATTTCTTTAGATTTTTATTTTAATTTGCATTTTGTTTTTTCATTATTCCTCTTTGCAGGATTTTTTGGTGTCTGCTCTATGGATTACAATACATACCCTTAATTTTTACTGTTTACTCGTCCTTCAGTTTTCTTTGAACTTTCTTCAAATGCTAAAATACAAAATTTATTGGAGGGAGTTACAGTAAACTGTATCTTTGTCTTTCGATTCCATTTGTGCTTAAATTCATTTTATCCAGATTGAAATGCGAACTTCCTAAAGGCACTCACTTTTACATTCAATCTTAGCTTCTTAAATGTAGCCTCTTTCATGGAGTTCTAACACAACAGCAATTATTTTGTCCATTAACATATTATCAGATGATGCTTAGTCAGTTTGGAATAATGCTCAGGTAATTTCCACACCCCCAAGGCTTTTTGTGGGGAACAGGCCAGGGAGAAATGTTCATTCAAATTCAATACAAAATGACCAAACTAAACTAGAATAAGATGGAACACCAAAGAAGGAGAGAAGTGTTATTAAATCAATGTTATTAGATCTTGTAGCAAAAATAATTCTAAGAACTTGTCTTTGTTGGCACATACCTAAAGATGAAAGTGTAAATGTTTTTTGTTTTTGTTTTTTTTTAAGGTTAATAATAAACAATTTCTTTTCCCCTATTCTTTGGGGAAAGAAAAAAAAAGAATATTTACTTGACTGAAAATTTATGCTTACATTTATAGGTGCAAAATTATAATACACACACACACACACACACACACACACACACACAAGGTCCTCATTAGAAAAACATTGTGGGGGAAAGGGAGAGATGGCAGAAAAAAAAGAAAATTGTTTGTAATAGCAGCAAACTAGTAACAACCTAAAGATCTCTTTGTGATCCATCTTTTCAAAAGAAGGAAGATTATCTGTATGTGCTGCTGTGGAACTATGTCCAAGATATATAATTAAGTGAAAAAGGTAAGAGTCAGAAATATGTATTTGGTATGTCTGTGCTTCTATTTGTTAATGTTTATGGAATATACATAAGCATGTTTTGAGTAGGATTGTAAGAAGTTGGTAACAGGTTGTTCTTGGGGAGAAGGTCAAGAATGGGGGTGTGTGTAAAGGAAGCTTGTCCTTTTCATTTTAGACCTATCTGTGCAGATTAATTTTTTATCATGTGTTTTGATTTTTAAAAGTAATAATTTTAAAAATCAAAGAATGACTTACTTGATTGAGAAGGAACCTCATTTGTTATTCATTTTGGTTGTTAGACTCAATTTATAATCAGTTATAATTTCTCTGTAAGGATATAGAAGAAACAAAATTAATTGCCCCTGAAGAAGAGAATGAGATGACTGAGAGACAGAAGGAAGAGTTTTAACTCTATCCTTTTGATTTTTTACCCTTTGAATTTTTTGAATTTTTATTAATACAAATATATATTTGGTTAAAAAAATTAAAATACACCCCCTAATGATTAATGACAACAACAACAAATGAGACACTGGTCTGAAGTGTTGTATACATGGGCAAACTTGTCGATTAGTAGGCTAGCATGAACAGACAGACCTTAGGTTCCAAGTAGTCGGAGTTTAGATGCAGGCTGTGCAGCAGTAGTCTGAGATTTCTGGCTTATGGCACCTGGCAACAGTTTCAGAAGTTGGCTTCACAGAGCTGCAGGAACAAGAATACCTAGCCCACTGGGCTGGGTGGGGGCACAGACCCTCCCATGGGGTAGAGGAAGCCTTTGTTCCAGGCAGTCCATTGCTAGACAAGCTCAGCCTCATGGATCATCCTCCCGACAATTCTGCTTGCTTCTTTACACATTTTCTAATTTTTTTAAAAAATAGCTCTCTGCAGAGAACTACAAAATTATACAAAAAAATATTAATAAGAAAATAACTACCTACTTATTTAAAATAGGGGGGGACAACCTAATAGTTCTTACCTGTTTTATTAACATAATTGGCAATAACCAAAATGTTGCTATTTACTTACAATAAAGGAAAGTTGGCAACAACTTGCAGGTCTTACATGTACTTATTTACTTAAGGCATCACTGGGCTAAGTGCAGGAACATACAGAGGTTTATTTTTCACTCAGGTTGTAATCTGAAGCCAATTGGATGCTTTTTCCTCTTTTAAGTGGTGACTCAAAGATGGAAACTGTTTCCATATTATAGCCATGCCATCTGGAACATGTGTTCCAGAGTTGCTGCAGCAGCAGAAGAGAGGGTGGGAGAATGATATGGGTTGGTTTTAAGAACAGGGCCATTCAATTTCACCCATATTCCATTGGCTGGAACTCAGTCACATGATCCTAACTGAACTGCAAGGGAAGCTGGGAAATAGAAGCATCCTATATGCCCAGGAAAAGGAAATAACTAGCACGAAGGCATGAAGACATGTTTGGGCACAGAAGAGAGTTTGTTAATAAATTATTACATATCTTTATAATGGAATATTATTCAGCCATTGAAAATTATAATATATACACGCACACACACACAAAAAGTGACGACAGGAAAATGCCAATTGTGAAAAAGCACTATAGAGACTCTTATGTTTCTAATTTTGGAAAAACAATATTCATACATGTATATGTGTGCTTATAAATATAGACTAGAAGGAAATAGAAAATATGTCATTTGTGATTATCTCTAAATGTTAGATTTATAAGTAATTTTTTATATTTTTGAAGAAATTGCTAATTTTCTTCAATGATCACATATTTCTTGGAAAATAAATGTATATAATCTGAAAAACAAGTTTTCCTAAAGTGAAAATGAAATCCTTAGATCATCTGGAACCAGAGCCAACACTTAAAATTTCTTTAAAGCTGCTGCAGACTATGAATATGGAATTATTCTAGTAAGCTTTTTTAAAAAATCAGCTTTAGTGCTTATTCTTCCTCATAGCATAGATGCTAGCCAGATCCCTTATTTTACACATTGTGGTCAGAATAATAGATTTATTCCTTTGGGAAGGAGAAGCCAAGTGTGAAACCCATGTTTGTTAATTGTAACACTTATTGAATAGTATACATTTTGCTGAACACAGTAAATAAGCAAATCAGGTCTGCCCCTTTGGGAGATTTTAATCTAAAGCATACGGTACTAACGTATCAACAGGCTCTGCCCCAAAATTATGAAAAGAGCCCAAACCTGTGAGAAGTGAGCAGTCTCACACAGTGAATGCCGTTCTCCTAAGAAGACGGCCACAGTATGTTTGGAATAGAATGAGGGCTGAGCGAAGGTCGTTGGCTCTTCCAGTAGGAAAGGGCTAGATGGAATCCATATTTGCTTTGAACAGGGAGACTTTATGGATTAAAAAATATTTATATGTCATTTATTAATACCCATATAGGGCAAAGATGTTTGACAGGATAAGAACAGACAAAAGACAGGTGCTCATTAAAAACATTTGCTTGACATATATTTTTAATCCATCATGTTAGGAAAATTTACAAGATTGATCATGTCCAATGTTAATGAGGGTGTGGCTCCATCATTAATTCTCAAATGCTCTGGATAGGAGTTTAAATTAAATTAGTCAGCCTTTATATTAGCAAAAATTTTAATGTATGTTTACTTTGATGGAGAAATTAAGTTTCTAAGAATCCCCTTTGCCTCAGGGTAACTCACTCAGCAGAAATAAAGTGGGTGGGTGAGTAAAGCCTCTGCTGTCCTGCTGTCCACCTTCATATCCCAGCCTATGAGATAGAACTCAATCCCTCAGCAGGCCCGCCGAGGCCAAAGCTACTCACTAAACCTGTCAGCTCACAGCAAGAGAGCCTGAGGAAGACACTAAAGAGCCCTCTAGTGGCCGCTTTTTAGAAAACAGGCTCCTTAAGGAATTTTCTTCACGTCTTTCCACCATAGGGCCAAAGAGAAAAGTCTGACATTACAGGGCATTGATGCTTCGCTTCCCCTGACCCCTACTTCCACCCCCATCCCAACATTCTGATACTAGTCAGGAGCAGCCCTCAGGCTTGGATATGCCCCAAATGAGATCTGGGTGTTCTTTGGTTGGTGCGGCCCCATATTCCTTCCCACTAGTGTGCCAATGCAGAGAGCTAAGGAACATGGCAAAATCCACAAATATGTTGTCTTGTGTAGACCCCCCTAAAGCACAGGAACACATTAGTAAAGCAATTCCATGGAGCAACGTAGGTTTCCAATTGCGTTCTTGAAAATATGCAAATTAACTTTTTAAATGACCTTGAGTTTTACAAGATTGAGCAAATAAGGAAAGGTTACACTGGTAGGAAAGAATGGGGTGGGGGGCAAAAAAGCAACATTTATATTTTCAGAATGTATACTGTGTGTCAGGTATCATGGCCGTCACGTGCACTAGTGTGCTGGGCCACCCACAACTTTGCACATTAGCAAAGTGTGGATGCAGAGCTTAGCAGAGAGGCAGAGCCTTTGTGTGAAGCCCAAAGTGCTCTATTCTCAGGGACCTGCGTGCTGACATACAACTTGGTAAGAGAAGAGGACTTGAGTTTAATTCCCTGTTGGCTGGGCACGTTGGTGGAGTACACTAACTGCACAGATGTATCAGCAATCTTGAGTTTTTGCAATGTCGAAGGCACCCAGCCAAGGAGAAGAGTGAGGGCTAAAATCTAGCCTTGTTCCACTAGCCAAACCCTGAGCCCCACATCAGTCTGGAGGGGTCACCCTTGTGTAGTAAGTACAAAGGCGCTTATGTGTTATTGGTCCAAGGTCTATCTTGTGTCATCCTCTAATGACCCTGGAAGGTAGGCAGAGGTGAATTTACTGTGAAGCTAATGACAGACTTTTCCAAGATCTGGGGAGTGGCCTAAGCATGGGTTTGCATGATCGTATTTTCTCCTAAACTTGGCAAAAGTAAGATTATTTAAGTGTAATCACTTAAAACTATTGTCATAGCAACGTTTGGAGGCTAGTATAATTATCATTCAAACTTTTAAGGTTAAGAAAGCATTATTTTATTTTTTATATATA